TTGCAGATCATGGTGGAGGGGCTGACGTTAGAGCTGGTGAGTGAGAATCACTGGGCAGAGCAGGTGATGAGTATTTCTGATTAATTGCAGTTGAGATGGAGGAAGTTTTCTTGCATCCATAGTTTAAGGCAGGCGGTCAGGGTGGAGTGGGTGATGGGTGTGATGAGAGGTAGAGTTGAGTGTGGATGTGACCGAGGGGAAGGATGTTTAGGATAAAGAGGAGGGGGCCTCTACGTGTAAGATGCTATACAGCAGTGGTTCTCAACCTTTTCCAGTCTCGAACACTCAGAATAAATAAAAAATGTTCTGAAAAATGTTGGATAATTCAACAACATATATAAAACTTAGGTTTAGGCGATTCATGAAGAACTGTTACATAAGTACATATATTTTATAAGTACATGCAGTACATACATATTTATACTTTAGGTGAACAAAAGTCCACCTCTGGGAACGTGGAGGAATATAGATATCTCAGTTTCCTTAAAGCAGAAGACAGGAAGTGATTCACAGAGCAGATGGTATCAGTAGCAGAGTCACTACATTTATGAGACCTCTGTATGAAGTGATTGTTGGTCATTTCATAAAAGTGTTTTCCTGTTTATCTTCCAGGTCCACGAGGAGAAACGTCCCAAAGGAAAGATCCATTTTGCAGTGAACATCTGATCAGAGCGTATTCCAAAACGACAAAGAAAACCTGAACTGCTGAAACACTGTTATAAAAGAAATACAGCGAACATGTACATTTTACACTTTAAACTGTTATAATTCACAGAGAAAATACATTTGAAACCAGTAAATATAACAGTGTTTTTCTGGTGAATTAGCATGACGACGCTGAATTTAAACAGATTGATTATTTCAGTCATTTTTCCTCACAATGTATGATGTAATGTTTTCTGCTGTATTAATCACAAGAGCTTAACGTGATAGTAACTTTTAAATATTGCAGCTCTGTCATGAAATCATTTTCTATAAATCCTTATTTACACTTTACAAGATTAACCCTTATGTCCTCCTCGGGCCTTTTTGTACCTTTTTTCAACTTTTGTTTTGTACTGTATTTGGGGATCGTTCAGCAGAGAAGAGGGTCCTGGGGTTATGGGAGGGGTCAGTGAAGATGTTGGAGAGGTAGGCCGATTCAGCGGCAATAAGAGCATCTGTGTAAGCATTGAGATGGAGTTTGTGTGAGGGATGTTTTCTTTGAAAGACGTTCAAGTTGGCGGCCTGCGGGTGTGAACCAGGGGGAGGAGGTCTTGAGAGTGACAGTTTTATTTTTGAGGTGGGCTGGGGTGTTGAGGGAGGTGAGTAGGGTGGAGTTGAGGTGGGCTGGGGTGTTGAGGGAGGTGAGTAGGGTGGAGTTGAGGTGGGCTGGGGTGTTGAGGGAGGTGAGTAGGGTGGAGTTGAGGTGGGCTGGGGTGTTGAGGGAGGTGAGTAGGGTGGAGTTGAGGTGGGCTGGGGTGTTGAGGGAGGTGAGTAGGGTGGAGTTGAAGTGGGCTGGGTTGTTGAGGGAGGTGAGTAGGGTGGAGTTTGAGGTGGGCTGGGGTGTTGAGGGAGGTGAGTAGGGTGGAGTTGAGGTGGGCTGGGGTGTTGAGGGAGGTGAGTAGGGTGGAGTTGAGGTGGGCTGGAGTGTTGAGGGAGGTGAGTAGGGTGGAGTTGAAGTGGGCTGGGTTGTTGAGGGAGGTGAGTAGGGTGGAGTTGAGGTGGGCTGGGGTGTTGAGGGAGGTGAGTAGGGTGGAGTTGAGGTGGGCTGGGGTGTTGAGGGAGGTGAGTAGGGTGGAGTTGAAGTGGGCTAGGGTGTTGAGGGAGGTGAGTAGGGTGGAGTTGAGGTGGGCTGGGGTGTTGAGGGAGGTGAGTAGGGTGGAGTTGAAGTGGGCTGGGGTGTTGAGGGAGGTGAGTAGGGTGGAGTTGAGGTGGGCTAGGGTGTTGAGGGAGGTGAGTAGGGTGGAGTTGAAGTGGGCTGGGGTGTTGAGGGAGGTGAGTAGGGTGGAGTTGAGGTGGGCTGGGGTGTTGAGGGAGGTGAGTAGGGTGGAGTTGAGGTGGGCTGGGGTGTTGAGGGAGGTGAGTAGGGTGGAGTTGAGGTGGTTGAGCAGATCATCAGGTGAGCTGAGGGTTGTGTCCAGGGGGAGATTAGACGATAGCAGTTCGGAGAGATGGTTATGGTCAATGGAGTGTAGATTACGGAAGGTGATGTTTCTGGGTGGGCAGGGGGTGTATTGTGCCTCCCTCGGGCCTTTTTGTACCTTTTTTCAACTTTAGTTTTGTATTTGGGGATCATTCAGCAAGAACTCTTGAGTCAAATGTTTTATATACAATGTCTTTTTACTCTTACATGTCTTTTATACTCTATCGATGCATTTGGACCCTCTGGACAACGTGGCAAAAATGTACACAAAAAAAACTGCTATTAAATCATATTATCATTCATCAATATGTTATTCAGCTTTTTTTCATAAATCCCTTAAACAACTTAAAACTTGCTCAAAAATTACCAATCATTCTCAGGATTTTAACCCTTTAAATGCCTGTTTAATTTGTTTGAATTATTCATTACAAAACATCAGAAAACATTATTTATTTCCCATATAATAAACAGTAGGGGGCTTTGGTGGTGATTAGACTCTTGAATATGTCAAAGATCAGAAACAAGATTGATTTGATCGTGTGTGTGTGTGTGTGTGTGTGTGTCTTCTACCCTCCTGATTGGTGGAGTTGACCCAATAGCCGTAGCGCCACCGTCCTGACGTCAGGACAGTGTTCAAATCTGGATCAGTTTTTATCAGATCCGTTGCAGCCCCTTTTTTAGAGATTTGGGTATGGAGGAAAATAGAGAGGGTTGTGTTTTCTGACACTTGGTGAGTTCCCTGGAACACCGGGGACACATATTCATGTAGAAAAGACGTACAAAAGTGCATTTTGCATGATAGGTCCCCTTTAAGCTTGCTCCATTGCGGAGATATTCCCGTCAGAGTGCGGAAAACTTAAATGTATTTATTTATTTCAAATGTGAAATGTTACCAATATACTCACGGACCACTAGAGGGCGCTCACGGACCACCAGTGGTACGCGGACCACACTTTGAGAAACACTGGGGTAAGGTAAGTGATTATATGACATTTTAATTCATGTTCAAATTGATAATTATTTTTTGTTTCCTTCACGTTAAAATAAATGCTATTGAACAAAGTATTTACACAAACTAAATAAATAAATGAAAAAGTAAAAGAAGCGACACATGCAGTTACACATCCATTCAGGATATTATACTAAATTAAAATGTAATTAAATACATGGTGCTGCTAATGTTGAGCTTTTGCTACTTATCATCTATACATCTCAAAATAATACACATTAACATTAACACTGAGAAAAACGCACTACAGTAGGTACTTGTACACACCTACGATATATACAAGTGTCATTTAATTATTTAACGACTTATCATTTTTCCTGCACAGTGAACATCAGTGATAATGAATTAAAATCAGGCAAAATTAAACAAGCCAACACACACACACACACACCTCACTCTCCCACACGTGCATTTTACATTAAAGGTAAAATAAAAATACTCACTGTTTGAGAGGAGCTCCATTGCTTGACGTGTCTTCTCTGCTGCGCTCACACACTTGGTCATTGCTGTTATGAACACACACACACACACACACACACACACACACACACACACACACACACACACACACACACACACACACACACACACACCCATAACACCCCTCACTCTCCCTTCTTATCTCCCTCTATCTTTCTTAGACATTGGATGTAGCTGTTGCATATCTAGTAGTTTAATCTAGTAGTTGTTTCCATTATGCATAATGAGTATTTAATAATATTTCTGTTTTCAGTTTGTATTACTAGTTACCCTGTTTACAATGTATTAGTTTAAAGAGTCCCTATTTAGCTTTTTGTGGTTTTCCAATTCTATATATATATATTATTCTGAAATGGACCAATCTGCACAATGACTACTTTACTTTTGGTACTTTAACTATATTTTGATGATGATACTTTTCTACTTTTACTTGAGGAACATTTTGAATGCAGGACTTTTACTGTAACAGAGTATTCCTACACTCTGGTACTTCTACTTTTACTCAAGTACAAGATCTGAGTACTTCTACTTTTACTCAAGTACAAGACCTGAGTACTTCTACTTTTACTCAAGTACAAGATCTGAGTACTTCTACTTTTACTCAAGTACAAGATCTGAGTACTTCTACTTTTACTAAAGTACAAGACCTGAGTACTTCTACTTTTACTCAAGTACAATATCTGAGTACTTCTACTTTTACTCAAGTACAAGATCTGAATACTTCTACTTTTACTAAAGTACAAGATCTGAGTACTTCTACTTTTACTCAAGTACAAGATCTGAGTACTTCTACTTTTACTAAAGTACAATATCTGAGTACTTCTACTTTAACTCAAGTACAAGATCTGAGTACTGACACACGACATAAAATAAATAAATATGTGATTGAAAAACCCTTAAAACAAGGAGTTAAACATCTCGAGCACTACACCTGCACACTTTCACTTTAGTGAGGTTTTGAATGCAGGATGTTTTACTTGTACAGTGGTATTTTTTTTTGTATTTCGTTACTTTGTTCTGCCTTTTTGTAGCTGGTGGTTTGTTGTTATCTTACTGAAAACAAGCCCAGTATGTGTACCTGTCCAGGTGATAAGTAAGGGATAATGTGCAGCGACTTGGTCATTATGGGGAAAAGAACACCGACAGGCTGATCAGGAGCCCGACGCGAAGCGGAGGGATCTAGATCGGCATGCAGTTTGCTTTTCGGCCAAACTGTATACAGTTAAATCGAACTGACTTGTTTCTGCAGATGTGAGCGTCCTTAACAACGGTCAATAAATCCTTGACAGCGGTCTGTCTGTTCTGGATTAACAACGTGTCACGTGTTCTGAATTGACCAATCAGAATCGAGTATTCAACTAAGCCATGTAATAAGGCTGGTTATTAAACAAAGGGAGCGGCTGCAGACAGGTGAGGGTGTCAAAGTCCAAGTATGACATTTGACCAGACTCCATTCTACACTTCGACAGAGCAGGAGGAGGAAAACAGGGTGAGTGTTGACACCAGGATCTGCTGTTTTTTTAGACGATAATAATTTACTCCTGTATGTATACAAAAATAGCTTATCAAAAAAACATCAAGATGTCCTAGAGTCCAAAGTGACATTTTCAAATGTTGTAAACTTTTAAATGTCCTGGTTTCTGATCCATCTGAGTTACATAACACGTAACCGCCCAGCCTGAAGTCTGACTGATTTGCTGTATTTAAACCAATGTTTATCATTAAGATGGTTTAGATTTGAATAATTGTGTTATATATTGTGTGTGTGTGTGTGTGTGTGTGTGTGTGTGTGTGTGTGTGTGTGTGTGTGTGTGTGTGTGTGTGTGTGTGTGTGTGTGTGTGTTGTGTGTGTGTGTGTGTGTGTGTGTGTGTGTGTGTGTGTGTGTGTGTGTGGTTACTGGTTTATCTCTCAGGCTGGAGAAGATGAGTGAGGAAGAGGACAAGTCTCCAGTCTCCAGCAGTCTCTCTCTGAAGAGTGACCGCTCTAAAGAAAGACCTATAAACTTCAGTAATGAACCTGGACCCTCAGACACAGAGTAAGAGTCTCTACTGTAAACTGACTTGAAGAGGATTCTGTTTTTATATAATCTGATAATCTGAACTGTTCTTTTATGATCGCAGTAAAGACACTCAGTAGAGAACAGTAACAACGTGTAATGTAACTCTTGCTCCTTGGCATCAACAGCGATAGTAAATTATCTACTAGTGAAATCATCCTCACACTGACATGTTGGACTTTGGGTTAAAGAAAGCTAATAAAATACAAACATGTAAAACCTTTCACTCTCAAATGAACTGAAAAAGCAGAAACCCACAAGCAGGACTGAAAGTTCAGAACAAGTCAGAAGATCTTTGATTGGGTAAACAGACAGAAGTCAGAATCTGCTCTCAACAAGAACTAATGATGTTTAAAACATGTGTTGTTTCCACAGACGGAGAGCAGAGTCTCCAGTCCCCAGCTGTCTGTCTCTGAAGAGTGACCAGTCTAAAGGCTTTATTATAACCTTCAGTAATGAACCTGGACCCTCAGACACAAAGTAAGAGTATATGTTTCTTCTGTAAACTGACCTGAAGAGGATTCAGTTTACTGATTATCAAAAATGTTCTTTAATAATGTGCGCAGTATAATAAAATAAAACGCAGGAGAGAAAGAAACACAGTAAGATAGTATAGAAGCCAGTGCTGCCCCTGGCCAAATTGGTGCCCTACGTGAAATGTTGTCATGAGGCACCCATACACAACTAGTGTAGATGTTTATATGATAATAAAAAAAATGGGTCATAGGTTCCTAAACGATGCAATATAAATATATACAAGGGTTTTGTTTAGACCGGGTAACACGGGCTCTGTGCCCTCTTTTGTTTTTACGGAGCTCAAAATAAATATGGGATAGATGTCCGGTCGGTCTACGAGTGGCCGGCTGACACTGAAACTGAGATTTATTTTACGTGTACGTGTATCAACCAGAGACTGGTACTCACAATATAATAGCTGCTGTACTTCTGACTTTATTAAGTTATTCTGAGTGTTGATGGAGCAGCTACAATGTTAGCTTAGCTTTATGGAATTGATCTCATGCAGAAAACAAACATTGTAAAGTGTTTTTCTTGTTCTGTTGCCGACAGACCTGACAAAGCCTGAACTCAAGCTTTTTACAAATCACTATCATTACGTTGTTATTTCGGCATTCTTTCCATATTTGTATTGCAATTAATTAACAGCAAATTCTATGTAAATTGGTTTTATAATGTTATAGTGTACCAGATGAATACAGCTTGGTGTGTCTTAGTAGAGACAGGGAACATGTGATCCAGACAGGATGCTGTTTGTTTTTATAATATGTGAAGCTTAAAGGGGACCTATCATGCAAAATGCACATGTTGATGTCTTCTCTACATCAACATGTGTCCCCGGTGTGTCAGGGAACTCACGCAGCGTCAGAAAATAAAACCCTCTCTCTTTTCCTCCGTACCCAAATCTCTAAAAACGAGGGAACAACGGAGCTGATCCAGATTTGCGTCCGATATGACGTAATATCTGAAATGTGGACCCACGGCCCTATCAGAAACGTTGCTATCAGAAACAATGCCTGACGTGTTGTGGAAGTATAGAGTGGTGCAGAGACGCGTCCTAAAACCAGGAAGTAAGCTGCACATGGGTTCCTTCCGTTTATATAAATAAACATTGATTGATTGATTGATTCCGGTTCCCTCAACAAAAAAGCAATGCAATCTCTCCATAGGATTTTGGAAAATAGCTGGAAATAAGGTCTGTGGTTGAGACACATTTAAGAGACGGATCACGGTTTGTTCAGTCGGATAATCTTCACATGTGTACCCTATTTTTATAATTTTCGTATTATAAATCTAATCGATAGATTTATGATCGACAGATTTATGATTATAAAATTATAAGAGATGGGTAGACATGTGGAGATTATCCGACTGAACAAAACGTGATCCGTCTCTTAAATGTGTCTCAACCACAAACTTTATTTCCAGCTATTTTCCAAAATCCTATGGAGAGATTACATTGCATTTTTGTCGAAGGAACCCATGTGCAGCTTACTTCCGGGTTTTAGGACGCGTCACTGCACCACTCTATTATGATCTGTGTTCACATTAGCATGCTAACACTCAGAGCTAACCTGTACTGGAGAGAGCATGTGTGTAAAGAAGCAGGAAATCAAAAGGAACTCACCTTGTGGTAAACCTGAGAGAGAGAAAGAGTTTGAGCTCCATACTGTTTCAGAGATAATGCTTGATGTGGTTTGGAACATTTAGCTGAGTATCTCGTAGAAGGACCCAGATCAGCACTTCTGTAACAGGGCTGAAATAGAACGATATGAGGGATGTATGAAATGCATGATCTGTTTGGTATTTTGAGCAAAACACATCATAGACGTGTTTTTTTTATATATTTGTATATATCTGAGACCCATAATATATGCCTAAGAATAGCATGATAGGAGACCTTTAAACTAACTCCCTGATCGCAATGTATTATAGAGACCTTTTTTAAATATCAAACTAGAATTTGCCACCTTGATGAACCTTTGGTGAGAATCAGCTCCACTAATGTAAAGTGCTGTAAAGGATGTGTTCATCTCCACAGAGGGAAGAGGAGAAGTTATGTTCCTGTGGAGGAGCAGCTGTACAGCTGTGCTCTGTGTCAGGACGTCCTGAAGGATCCAGTCTCTACCAGCTGTGGACACTGGTTCTGCAGACAGTGCATCACCTCACACTGGGAGCAGCGCCCTCCATCAGGAGACCCCTCCTGTCCCCAGTGTGGAGAGAGATCCAGAACCAGAGCTGGCCTGCAGACAGCCAGTCAGACCAGCTCTGTACGAGGTAAGAGGCCGAACACATGCAGCGCCTTTACCTCCGTCTGGGTGCTGGGCGTGTACTCTTCTTAAGAAACACTATCATCTGATCTTTTCTTTAAGGCATTGCTTTTAAACTTTATTCAAAACTATTTATCGTGGGACAGCAGTGTTTCCCTAAAAATGCTTTCAGTTTAAATCTCAGGAAAACATTAGCCCTGCACAAATATCACATTTACGTCTGATCAGAGGTACGAAGTAACTAAGTACATTTACTCATGTACTGTACAGTTTTGAGATACTTTTACTTTACTTGAGTATTTCCATGTAATGCTACTTTGTTCTTCTACTCCTCTACAATTCAGAGGTAAATGGTGTACTTTTCCCCCACTACATTTATTTAATAACTTTTGTTACTTTACAGATTTGGATTAATGATGTGAAATATAATCAAGTCTTAAAGGTCACCTATTGTGCAAAATCCACTTCTCCATGTCTCTTCTACATCAACATGTGTCCCCTCTTCTTCATGTCTCTTCTACATCAACATGTGTCCCCTCTTCTTCATGTCTCTTCTACATCAACATGTGTCCCCTCTTCTTCATGTCTCTTCTACATCAACATGTGTCCCCTCTTCTTCATGTCTCTTCTACATCAACATGTGTCCCCTCTTCTTCATGTCTCTTCTACATCAACATGTGTCCCCTCTTCTTCATGTCTCTTCTACATCACCATGTGTCCCCTCTTCTTCATGTCTCTTCTACATCAACATGTGTCCCCTCTTCTTCATGTCTCTTCTACATCAACATGTGTCCCCTCTTCTTCATGTCTCTTCTTCATCACCATGTGTCCCCTCTTCTTCATGTCTCTTCTACATCAACATGTGTCCCCTCTTCTTCATGTCTCTTCTTCATCACCATGTGTCCCCTCTGTGTAAAGAGACTCTGAAAGTTTCAGGAACAAAGATTCTCTCTCTTTTTGTCCTGATCCATTTTTATAAAAACCTGTCTGAAAATGAGCTGATCAGATTTTGGCCACTTTATGATGTCATAACGATGTTTTGTCTTGTGTAACCATTAGCCAATCAGCAACCAAGGTAACCCCCCCCCCCTTATCACCTGAATCTCCTCCTAGAGCACCATTGAGTTCTTTGTAACCAAATCTCTCTCAGAGGGGCGTGGGGAGGGGCTCCTTATTTTCATCTGAAGTAACAGACAGAGAATCAGCACTTTGGAAACAGGGCTGAAACAGAGGGGATTATGGGTAATGCTGCAATGATCTGTTTGGTGTTTCAGCCAATCAGAGACAGGCTCTGGATATATCTGAGACCTGTGATATATTGATGAGAAACAGTAAAATAGGGGACCTTTAAATCAGACTTTAGTTCCACCTTGAGTAAATCCACAAGCTACCCTGCAGTATACAAAGTCATTCAAACTAGCTGCACCTTTACCAGCTTTGAGAACACTTTCATGATCAATCATTATAAAACATATCAGATATATTATTCTGAAATGGACCAATCTGCACAAAGACTACTTTTACTGTCGCTACTTTCCCTATATTTTGATGAGAATACTTTTCTACTTTTACTTGAGGAACATTTTGAATGCAGGACTTTGACTGAAACAGAGTATTCCTACACACACACCAGAATGTTTTATTTGTGTTTGGTTTGGTGTCGAGTTGTGAAGCATAGACGGCGGGGCGCTGGGTGTCTACACTTGTATCAACTTGTATTGGCTCACTGTATCATCGGATCTTCTTCCAGGTGTTTTTTTTAAAGTGTGCATTAACACCGACAGTAGAAATACTGTATAGATCTTAAGCTCAGGGGAACGTTAGACCTGCAAAGACAACTTACAGAAGATAGTCAAGATGTCTGATGGCTAGCATTGTTGTCAGGATTCTTCCTGGTTCATCTGTTCTTGGATAAGTATGGAGTTGTACAGCGTAGACATCAAGCTGTTTTATTAAAATCACAACTTTTTAAACCCTGTACAACATGTTCCTGATTCTCTCATGGTTCCTTCTCTTCCAGCAGATAGTGGTCTGCAGGAGGTTTTAGATGAACATAGGAACAGTCTGAGGAGGAGATGTGAACGTGTGACTGAAGGAACTGATCAAAGTGAAACCCTCCTCAACAGCATCTTCACTGAGCTCTACATCACACAAGGCCTGAGTGAAGAGGTTAATACCCAACATGAGGTGAGGCAGCTGGAGACAGCTTCCAAGAAGAAGACCCTCCATGAAACTCCAATCAAGTGCCAGGACATCTTTAAAGCCTTACCTGACCAACAGACTCACATCAGAGCGGTCCTGACCAACGGAGTCGCTGGAGTTGGAAAAACCTTCTCAGTGCAGAAGTTCACTCTGGACTGGGCCGAGGGTTTGGGAAACCAAGATGTCAGTCTGGTGATCCCGCTCTCCTTCAGGGACCTGAACCTGATCAAAGGTGAGCAGTACAGTCTTCTCAGGCTGCTCCATGTTTTCCATCCAACCTTACAGAAGGTCACAGCAGAGCAGCTGGCTGTCTGTAAAGTGCTGCTCATCTTTGACGGCCTGGATGAAAGCAGACTTTCTCTGGACTTCAGAAACAATGAGGTTGTGTCTGATGTCTCACAGCAGTCCTCAGTCAACGTGCTGCTGACAAACCTCATCAGGGGGAAGCTGCTTCCCTCGGCTCTCGTCTGGATAAC